TGCTTGCTTGATTGTTGTAATGTTGCCTGAGTTGCATATTCCATTGGCTCACTGTCTTACAGGCATACCCTCTTTGGGTCACTGCCACCATGACATGCTCATCTTTTTTGAGTCACTGCTATCATGGTATACTCATTGTCAGCACTAGTGTGATTTTGACTGCTTGTATTTACATTTGCATGTTTGTATGGATAGTGAGCTCGACTCATTAGAAGAGTGACTCACGTGTCGGTCGCGATGCCTAAACGAGCATTGCTCATCGGGTTGATCACAGGGAGGGATGCGAGTTAAGTCATCAGGATTGACATGAGTATGACTTTGCAAAAGTTACAAGGGACACGAAATCAACAAATTTCCAACATGTGACATGAATCACAAAAAATGACAAGAATCTTGAGGTAAAATTTTGATTAAAAGTCATCAAAAAATCTGATTTCAGTAAACTTACAATCAAACTGACGACTTGATGAGATGGGCCCAAAGGTACTTAAATCGGTTTAATCTTATCAAATCAAGACATTAAACCACTTTTAGAAGCATTCTAGACATAGATGGAAGGTCCAACGGATGCTCAATATGATATGCTTATAGACAAAGCAAGCATCTCAGTGAGATAAATCCAATGAGCCCAAGATCGTTTATTTTTGATATCATTATGACAGTTAAATATCCATCAAATGCAATCCGTTCAAAGGGATCTCTTCAGGTCGTCCGATCAAGAGTGTTTTGGATTCTTTTTTTATTTTCAACTTGGAATATATAAATAAAGCCTCAAACCCCTCATGAAGGGGTCCTAGACCTTGGGGCAAGAGCGAGTCAAGAGACTACAAAAGGAGGAGCTGCTGCCCTACATCCTGCATTGCAGATCCGATCAACTCCACTCGCCTCCACTTCTGGCTGTCATCGGCTCAACTGACCACCACCGCCACAACCGGCCATCACCTTCACCTCTTCCAACTAAGCCTTGCGCCATAGCCCACCCACTAACTTTGGTCGTCGTCGCTTCTTCTGGTTAGCGCCTTGGGCCGCATTCGCCGTTGCCTCCTGATCGCTGACTCTTTTGGCCACTGCTTCTTTTGACCGCTACCTCCTTCAACCACCTCCACGAGCTGCTAATTCGAGCCACCGCCTTAGGCTGTCACCTCTTCCAGCCTTTATCTCGGCTATCGCCTCTTATGGGAGTTGTTGTCACCTCTTTCGGGTGTCGTCGCCACCGCTTCTAGCCATCATCGTCACACTTCTAGCTGTCATCACTTTCGTTCACCCTGGGCCAAATTCACTGTTGACTCTTCCGGTTGTCGCCGCCTCCGACCTCTAACACCATTTTCGGCCACCGCCACCATGGGTTGCTGTTGTCTCCTACTCCTTACCAGATAACAACAATTTCTCCTAATTTCAGACACTGTAACCCGAAAAATTATGTAATGTTTTTATGCACGTGGGACAAATAGATGTACCTATAATAAAAAATTACGTTCTACCTCATTCATATATTATACAGCTGCAAACTCTGACCCTTGCGGTCTACAGACCAACTACAACCTACGTGGTTCATAACACGTGCTGCTTCGGACCATTGCAGCTTATGAAAGTCTACGCAGCTCACCCTTACAGCCTATGTGATCAACTACGACTCACGTGATTCATAGCTCGTGCAACATCATAGCTCGCCACTATGAGCTACGTGACCAACTACAACATATGTGGTTCATAGCTCTGGTAGCTCTTGTCTTTGGCTTACATTACCTATGCACGTCATCACAGCGTACCACTATAGCCTACGTGACAAACTACAACTGACGTGATTCATAACTTGTGCATGTCCCAACTTCGGCACCTGTGACTAAGGACAACTTCACAGCTTGCCACTATGGCCTATGTGATTAACTATGACATACGGGATTTATAGTTCGTGCAACTCTCGGCTCTAGCCTCGACGGCTTACAAACATCGTCACAGCTCGTCACTATGATCTATATGATCAATTACGACCTATGTGTTTCATAGCTTGTGCAGCTCTCGACTCCATCCCCTGCGACCAACGTGGTTTATAGCTCGTGTAGCTTTCAACTTTGACTTTTGTGGCATACACTCGTCGTTGCAGCTCACTACTACAACGCATGTGATCAACTACTGTCTAAGTGGCTCAAAACTTTTGCAGCATCCTACTACAGCCTCAATGGCCAACTGACCCTTCTGAAACAACTATCTACAACTCACATGGCCAACTACTATCATGGATTTCAACAACTGCCTATAAGACAAGATGGTGCTACGAACACCGTTTATAACATTTACAGTATACTGCTACCTCCATAACAACTGATTATAACCCTTGCAGCGTACTTTCTTCGAGAACTACATTCATTACAACAAAACTATAACAATTATCGATGAAGCAGTGTTACACACTTAAAATGATTATCTTTGTAATTCTATCTTCCCTAATTCAAGAGAAGAGTGAACCCATGTACTCAAATTTGAATAAGGAAACATTTCAATTAGGCCAATCCCCGTGATCTTTTCCCTTTTTCTAGGATTTTCCAAGTAAAATCTTTTGGCTATCGCTACTGATTGCTTACCTTTATCGGAATATGTGTTGAATTTCTGTACAACGCTGAGAAGATAATTCATCACTCCACTGCAGAAAATTTTCCAGCAAATATCACCTGCTTTGACTGACTTATATTAATTATTAGATTTAAGGTTTTAAAAGCAAAATTATATGTTTGATTGAATGCAGTTTATAAAAGTGTCTTATAAGAAAAATTTTAACCATTTAATTAAGAATTAAAACTAATTAAATAGATAACTTGGACTGATCGGTAAAATGGTTCATGAGACTTTCCTCATCATTCAAATGCCGATTCAGTTGAACCGCTTTGTCGAGTCCAATCCGTTTTTTTTAAATCTAATTTTAATCAGCTTTAATATAGTTTAAGATGTTTGCAGCACTAATTGAAGCTTTATTTTTATTTCTTCAAGTAATATGTTTAATAACAATTTTTCATATATATATATATATATATTAAAAAGAATGGCGGGAGAATATTAGACTAGCCCCGATCATTCCTAGGTGTGCTAAATATTCGAGTACCATATCCTAAGCACGGAGGGATTCTCGCCGTGACCTGAAGGGACTTAAGACATTCAGAGAGGTTGCTCTATCAATAGGTCACCGTAACCTGACCTGTTGGTTGTCATCCTTGGTGTCAGACTACTTAGATCAGGGGTTCGAATCCCCTCTGGCAACCCGAGCCTTAAAGAGTGTGATACTCAAATTGTTAGGTATGTTAGAAGTGGCTGGAGACTTGTATAATAGCCTCTGGAGACTTGTATAATAGCCTCTGACCATTTTTTTTAAATATATATAATAATTATTTATGATTAAATGAAATTTAATATTAATCTACAGGAAGCAGGTGATGAGTATTTCAAAACAGAGACTATAAATTTGAACTCCTAATAAAAAAGTGAAAATGATTTCTTTTTCCATGGAACTCTTATTCATACATTTGTTTACCATAAATTTATTTAGCAATTTATTAAAATAAAAGGGGGAGAGTGGTTGCTTAAATATTCTAAAATACTAAAATAATTCATGTGTTTTTATTAAAGAACAGCTCATCTTCATTGTCTTTCAGGCATGCTGCCAGAAGACTTTGAATTAAAGATCTTCAGAGATAGAGTGACAAAGAAGGACCAAATGACAATTACGAAGAAGCTCTCATATTCGTCCTCACTAACTTAAAAAATTAAAAATAAATATGGAGTCCACCGAAATGGTACGACCACAATTTTGTCCTCTAATTATGAATTTATTTTTTGAAAAATTGTAATTATATATTAAAATTCAGTTATAATGTATTTAAAATCTTTTTTAAAGATATATTTTAAGACATTACTCTTTATATTAATTCTCATCATCATAAATATTTCATTTAAATTGTGTACACAAATTCCGTCATACGGAAATTTTGAATTATGTGGCTGAGTGAAATTCACTTGTTGATGGCTGAATTGAGCTCACACGTCAAAGCGGCTGATCGAGCTCGTCTCCATCAAACCTCTCTCTACGAATGTATCAATTCGAAAAAATCATCATGACCAATTGGATCGGGGATCGTTGCCGTATTGACAACTTTAGACATGAGCTGACAAAGTCTCATAGTTACAATGCCAATCAAATCGAAGTCAGCAATGTAGTCCTTGATGTCCTACTTTGATCATTTTATATTATTTTTTGTCTCATGTATAGAAGGAATAACAAGAGAAAAGAGTAAGGGACTCTCTCTCTCTCTCTCTCTCTCTTTCTCTCCTGCCCTTCCAATCTCCTTTTTTCCTGACGGACTCTTATAGAGCTCTCTCTTTCTCTTTAACTCTAACTCTTGAGCTGAAAAACTCTCTTTAGCAAAGCTGTATGTACCTACGAATAATGCGGGGCCCTAACTGCTATTTTGACTAAACAAAAATATAATGAAACATAATTATTTTAAATCACACGTTCGATTATAATGGATAGCAATATTATCAGTCACATTTTCTTGAGGTTAGCAACATTTATTTCTAATTAGTCTAGCTGATGATTATATATGATACATATATTAATCGTAAATTCTTATAAAAAAGAAGCTACATAATCATCTTTTCTCATGAATATACTTTCTTTTAGCCGTGCTATCAATAACCACTGTTTCATAAAAAGTGATTAAAAATAAAAAATGTAATTAAGCAATATCATAATCATACTTAATTTCAAAAAAAAAAAAAAAGACAGCTAATGTTATATTTCATCAAATTTTTCTAAGAAAATAATTATATATTTCATTCTCTGAAATATATCTGAAAATTAGTGGTGCACCAAAACTTCATAATTACAATTGTTGTAATTAACATCTAAGCAGCCATCTTTATTCATTAAAATTATAATTATACTAACAATACAATGATCGATGGCAATCTATAATTTCTTTTCTGTAACTTACGAACTACTCTGAAACTCACGTGTTCTTCCGCGGCTCCGGTCCCAGTCGGAGCTCAAGGTCCAACTCCATCGCCGCCACCTGCGGCCTCTCCACGTCTTCATGAAGGAGAATAGATGGCTGAAGGCTTGTCTTGTCATCTTCAGGAAGCTGAATCAATGGATGTCGAGCAACAAAGCTGCTTGCAGAATTGGAGGAACATAAGTGAGCAGTAGGGATTCCATAAGACACCCAAAAGCCAACTTGAGAATGACTTGAAGGTTCCAGCTTCATTTTAGCTCTATCTTTCCGATGGATGTTCATATGGCCGCCAAGCGCTTGAGCGTTGGAGAAGCCTCTTTTGCAGAAGTTGCACTCGTATGACCGGATATGGCTGCCTTGCTTCTCCATCTGACCTCCATTCTCTTGCTCGCCGGAGCTCATTTTGGGTTCCATATTGGATTAATGAAAGATTGGTTTTTTATTGTAGAAGAGGAGATCATGCATGGAGTGGGAGGAGAGGAAGCAAAGGAGAGGTGGAGGCTGACTAATTAGGGTTGTTGACTAGAACACTAACAAAAAGCAATAGAGGAGGATTAGATAGAAAATGTTGGTTTTGTTACGAAAGTATGAAGTAAATAATTAATTATTTTGTTTTGTTTGAACTTCAAAAAGCTGTTTTTTTTGTGTGGTAGTTTAGAAAATTGAGGAAAAACATTTGCTTATCATTGGGTAAGAAAATTTTGTATTTTTTTAAAATAAAAAAAACTTGCTTTTCATTATATTTTGTTTAATTTATTTTTATTTATGCCTAAGAATTCTATTTAACTTCTAATATTATATTACCTACCACTTAATGTCATCTACCTAACTTATACAAGTTTGATATATATAACAACTAAGTATTACATAATGATATGTTTATATAGCGTTGATTGGATCTCTCTTTCTTTTCTTTCCATTATTTAGGTCAAAGAGAAGAATTGCGGGGAGATCGAAGTCTGGTAGCGTGAACTTCAAAAATCCGTGCCTTAGCCTCACTAGAAAGATGAATAAATGAAAGTTTTACATGAGCGGTTATGGATCAAATTTTTATAGGATAATTTATTAATGGGGCAGCACATAAGACAATGCCATAAATTTTGCCTTTATTTTTTGAGGACTTTTAGCATATGGGGTTTAAGGTTTTTAAAGGCACAACCACAAGGTTCTATTAGGAGGCAATTAAGAGAGAGAGATAGAGAGAGAGAGTGTGCGTGTGTGTGTGTGAGGTAGCAATAGTAGACCAGCCGAAAAGGACTCTTTTATTCATAATATGGACCCCTATTTATAGGTCTAGATCCCAACATGACATAAATACACAACCCCTTGATCATTAACCTTTCATTTTGTTAATTTACAAGATTATTTGTATATAATAAAGCCCGAGACCCATTTAATTGATAAAAATCACCGATAGTCTGATATATCTTGGTTCGACCAATTCATGGCTCGAAGGAGTGCTCCCCATTTATCGTTTCGTAGGTTGATGGCTGTCTTGAGCGACTTTCATTTGTCTTCTTCTATTGATCGCTTAGGTGTGATATTTCTGTCGCCTTTTATCTGAAAACAATCGTCAATTGCTTCGTTTGATCGGTCATACTTCCTTCTTGGATCACCTATCTATTTTGAGATTCTTGTGGACACATGCCTTTAAATGTGACAAACTACTTAATCAAAAGGCTCTGATAAAAAACTTTATGTTTATGGAGTTGATTAGCCAGAACATATAGACCTACGGTTTGAGCCACTTTCTTACTGACACTTTATGCCAAAAAAATACCGACTATTTCAAGCCAACTGATCAATCATGCTCCTCATTTCGAAGCCACCATCAACCTCAATGACTAGGGTTGTAAACGAGCCGAACACGAGCGATTCATGCTCAGCTGGTGTTCGGCTCGTTTATATTTCGAGCTCAAAAAGTGTGTTCGTGTTCGGCTCGTTTGCTTAGCGAGGCCAAACAAGAGTCGTTCACGAACAAAGAGTCGTTTTGACAACCGTAATCAAGTAGCCATGAGATGTTAAGGATTGGTGCAAGATTTAAACATTCATTTGAATCTAATTTAATAATTTTTATTCTATTGTTTTCATTAATACTTTTAATTGATTATAAATCTTTGTAACCTTTTGGTCAATTAAATTTTTTAAAAATACTACTCATCAAATATATATATATATATAATATATATAATATATATAAACTTTTTTAGTAGTATTTCGAGCCAAAACGAGCCGAACACGAACGAACACATCTTAGTTCGTGTTCGGCTTGTTAACGTTCGGCTCGTTAACTTATTGAACGAAACTAACAAGTCAAACACGAGCTTCTTAACGAGCCGAACACGAGCTGTTCGCGAACAACGAGCCATTTTGACAGTCCTACCACCGACAAGGTATTTGAGAGCCAATTCTTATGCTCAATGGTCTTCCGGGTAGAGCATGCTGCCATCATCGAAGTCGCACTTGTCGCTCTCTGCAAACCATGGGCCATCCCATGCCCTTGCAACTTGCATCCTGATAATCAACTGACCGCCTCACCAACCAACCACCTCAACCTACCGGTCAAACACCTCCACCCCGGACGACTACTCTAAGTTCACTAGCCGACCACCCAAAAACTTTTAGCTAGCCACATAAAGCCTTCCAGCCGACCACCTGTGATCGATAGACCACCTGAAGTCTTTTGTCCAATCACCTATTTGTCGGCCACTTAAAGTTTTTCAACTGGTTGTCTATTGGTTGACCACCTAAATCCCTCTAGTCGGTTTCCATTTGATCAGTCACCTAGACTCCTCACCAACCTGCCACTCAAGTTTTTCGATTGAACACTTCAAATTCATTCAGCCGACCACCTCCCAACAGTCAACAAGTCACTTCAATTTTTCAACTGGAAGTCCTCACAGGAGGCCACTCCAATTTCCCAGTCGACTGCCTAACTAGCTAGCGACCTCATTGAATGGGTATAACCGCACAAGAACTAAGAAAGTCCCCACTCCCCTTGCCAACCAAGAGTTCCTCCACTTGCCACCAGTTCTAGGTATAACCACACAAGAACTAAGAAACTCCCCATTCCCCTTGCCAACCAAGAGCTCCTCCACTTGCCACCAGTTCTATGGTCATTTCAATTGGAAAATTTCAAGCATATTTTATAATTCTTTCTGATTCCATGTGTTATCATCTAGTTCCATGCAATTTTTTGCTTAAGAAATAGTTACTTTAAATGTCAAGCTTTTTTAGTCAGTCAAACAGGTCTAATATGTTATGTACACAATGAAGACTATTGTTCCTGAGATGGATTTCATTTGTGGAAATGATCATTCGTGCCTTGCTTAGCAATTAAATGTAGATTCCTCATTCCACCACGAAAGGGTCAATATTCTACAAATTCATCATCAAACACTAGAACCTTTTGTGAGATCGCTAGGACAAGTTTAAAGATGCTATCAAAAGCATTCAATTTAATTGCTTGTATGTCTTTCATATTGTCTTACATACGGCACTTTGCACGTCGGTTTGATCGACCACCAAGGCTAGATTGAATAGTCACATTGGGTTTGATTGGCCACCAAAGTCCGATCAATCAAATCACTTCAGTTAAATCAAAACCCGTGCCTAAGCATAGCAAATATCGACCACTTCAAGACCACCGATCATTTTAAGAGAATAAGATGAAGTTAACTCTACTACTCTAGAGTAGCTGGAAAAATGTATACAGTGGCAACAATTTGAAACTTAATATGTTAGCCATTAAAAAGGTCATCACAGTATATGCTAGCAAAGGAAATATGGCTACACTTACGGAAAAAAACTTTTTATTGGCCTGAAAGGGTGATATGAGAAATAATTTTGGAATGATGGAGCTTGGGCTATAAAAAAAAAAGCATTTAGCAAAGATTTTAACCTTAGCAATTATTTACAGTGGCTTGACACTGCAGAAATAATGACTATTTCCGACGACCAAAATTCATCGATAATCAACAGAATTCCCATCGGTTGTTATATTTCCGACGACAAAGCGTTTGTTTAAGAAGCGTAGCTAAAATGCATGTCGGTAATTTTTATATCGAAGGCGGTTCCGACACATTAAATTATTAACACATATATGCCAACATTTTATCATTACTTTTTGGTTAATTAGGAAAGCACGTTCAACTTCAACTGTCGATTTATATTATTTTAGTTTATTGAATATACTTTTGTCGGAAATTAGCGACCGTTAAAACGTCGGAAAAGTATCGCAGCCACTGCTTTTTTGACACATGTATTAGTTCTATTTGTTGTCGATAATGCGTCGGTTTCTTAATTGACTATTTAAACCTCCATAAAAGTGTCGCGACCAACATTTTTAATAGCACATGTGTTCGGTCGGAATAGTGTCAACATGATTGTAATGGTCGATTTTAACCATGGTAGAAGACAACAACTTTAACGTGTTGTTTGGTTGTATACTGAATTTACATTACATGGGAATTATTAAATCATATAAATCTGATCTTCATTTTCACCAGAATGAACTCTCGGGCGATGAAAGCAAGAAAATCTTAAATATGCCTCACAATCGGATTTACTATATCATGATTTACATTCTAAAATACATGGAACATAGGAAAAAACATCATAACACAAAAAATTTCGATTTAACGAAACATGGGATATAATTTTGACTTTTTTGATGTTTAGTTGAATTTAAGCTAAATTCATAACTAAGGGCCCGTTTGGGGCAGCTTATTTGGTGCAGTGGCATTTTTAAAACGCACCTGATATATTTGGGTAAACTGCGTTTTGACAGCTTATGTGTATTCAAAACGCAGAAAACAACACTTTCACATCACACCTATCTAGGTGCGGTGGGAGCTTATTGGCAATGGTCTAGCTTTTCCAAAAAAAATAAAAATTTGTAATAGCCACCACGCCTAGCTTATCAGCAGATTATTTTTAATCAGCTTTTAAATAATGCTACCAAACACCACCTAACTGTAATAATTCAGCAAAAACATTTGCGACTTAGGAACACATTTTTAATTGCATAATGACTACTAAGAAATCAATAATTAAACGTAATGAAAGGAGATAAATCTTTATTCTTCAAAGTAAAGAATATATAGATATAGGCAAGTAAACGTTTTTTTACTTCTTTAATGAGTCCAAATTCAGGTTTTCATATTTTGGTTATATATATATATATATATATATATATAACCATATTTGCTTGCCTATTAAGTTTAATGATATGACTTAGCCTGCACTCGATCTCTTTTGTCGCACATGCAACCTGCGCTATATTAAAGTGCAGATTACACTGACTGTTGATTAGTCTTTGTAGAAAGTTAACGCTAGTTAATGTAGTTAACTCTTAGAGAATAATTAATTTTGTGAAATGGAGGCATTGCCCGACTCATAAAGTGATGACTGAT